CATTAATTTGCGGGTCTGGTGCCATTTATATTTTAATCTACGTTTCTGCAGGAGTGTTGTGAGTGGTCTGAGCGACTTTTGCCATGCCAATGTGCCCCCTGTGAGGTCTGTGTAGAAAGATAGTTCCATCGTTTCGAATTTGTAGGGGGACCAGTTTCTGGTCGCTGCCAGTACAGTGGTTTTGGCTGAGTATTGCGGGAACCGCACGATCAGGTCCCGTGGTGCTGCCGGTGGTGCCGAGGCCGGCTTTGGGGCCCGGAAGAAGCTGTCCAAGGTAATTGCTTTTGTCTGTCGTGGTGATAGTAGGGCCGCTAGTAGGCGCCTCAGGAGGTGCGACATTTCGGCCTGTGGAGTGTCCTCCGGGATGCCCCGAACCTTGATGTTATTAGCCCAGCGTGCTTCCTTCAGGGCCGCAAAATGGTATTCATGCTCTTCGTTCTGTTTCTGCAATCCTTGGACCACTTGTTGTAGTGAGGTGAGTTTGTCCAAGCAGACATTGGAGGCAGTCTCCAGTGCTCCCATTTGGCCTGTTAGGCCGTGTATGTCGTTGCGGAGCAAGGCTACGTCTGCATGAATCTTCTTTTGGAGGTCCGCAAGGAGAATCTTCAGTACCGATGTTGTTACCGGTGAGGTATCCGCTTTTTGGGCGGCTGGTGTTGGTCTTTGCATGGGTGTTAAGTCTGCTGCCTCATCCCCTGAGGAGAAATCGTCCGATAATTCGGAATAGGTTTCTGGGTAGGTGACCATCTTGGCCCTGGTGGTTTCACGTGGCTGCTGTAGGAGAGCCGCAATATTAGGTCCCTGCCGTGGTTTTTCTGATTTTAGTTTCTTGGTTTTGCGCCCCATCTTGTTGTTTTATCACCCGCTGACCCTGAGGGGGGTTAATTGTGTATAATAGGTGGATTTGGGCCCGAAAATGCCAGAGCTCTTTTGTCATGTGGCTCTTCAGCTCGGCTGCATGGCTCCGCCCCCTCATATAATACCAGTTTTGTTACATTCTCAATAAAGATTTATTAACATTGTCTAATACTGTGTTTGTGTTCTGATTTCATCTTTCAGGTGATCTCTTTTAATTTTAATCAGAGAAGACATGTTTATATTAAATTCCCTTTTCAACTTTTCCAGTTGAATATACAGATCAGATATCGATGTATAGTTCTTTTTTTTTTATATATGCGTTTAACCGAATTATTTGCCATCTAATTACAGACTTGTAGTTACACCATACAATTGTAAGGTTTGTATCACTTGTCAGATTCTCATTGAAAAAGCATTTAGATTCTTTAAATAATGTTTCAATGTTTTCCTCACTTCTTAATAGGGATTCCTTAAGCCTCCAAGAGGGTAATACTTTGGAATATTTTCCTTTCTATCTCCATAAATACTAAGTCGTGATCTGATCATGGGATGATTTGGATGTTAATCTTTTTGCAATCTTTTATATTTGATCAATATCATAATCAATCTTGAAAATGAGTTATGTTTAGTTGAATAAGAAGTATATTGTTTCTCTAATGGATTCAGTGTTCTCCATAAGTCGTATAATTTGTATTTACTGGAGTTGAGCGGACACCTGGATGTTCGGGTTCGGCGAACTACGGGAAAAAAAAGTCCGGGTTTGGGCTCGAACTTGACCCCGAACTCCATTAAAGTGAATGGGGACCCGAACTTTTGGGCACAAAAATAGCTCTTAAAATCTCCTGGAAAGGACTAGAGGGCTGCAAAAGGAAGTAAGATGGGGGTAAGAGTAGGACAAGTGCCCTGCAAACAAATGTGGATAGGGAAATCACTTAAAATAACATGACAATTAAAAATACAGCTGAGCCATAAAATAGCACTAGATGGAATCTTTGATTTTAGCTTTGGAAGAACAATTGTGTACCCGGCCTATGCTGGTGCAGGAACCCACCGTCCAAGCCACTTGTGAATGACTGGCCTGATAACTGTGGAAATTACCCCTCTTCCTCCTCCTCTTTCTCCTGTGCCACATCCTCTTCCATCATCGCCCGAAACGTTTTTTCAAGGAGACATAGAAGCGAGATAGTAAGGCTGGGAACGGCGTCATTGGCACTGGCCATGTTAGTGGAGTAGTCGAAACCGTGCAAAATGGAACACAGGTCTCGCATGGAGGCCCACTCATTGGTGTTGAAGTGGTGCTGTTCCGCAGAGCGACTGACCTGTGCATGCTGCATCTGAAACTCCACTATCGCCTGCTGCTGCACGCACAGTCTCTCCAGCATGTGCAAGGTGGAGGTCCACCTTGTGGGCACGTCGCATATGAGGCGGTGAGCGGGAAGGCCGAAGTTACGCTGCAGCACAGACAGGCGAGCAGCAGCAGGGTGAGAACGCCGAAAGCGCGCACAGACGGCCCTCACTTTCTGCAGCAGCTCTGATATAGCTGGGTAATTTTTTAGGAATTTCTGCATCACCAAATTCAGCACATCCAGAGCTGCTACGAGATTTCGCCCATTATCGCACACCACCACTCCGGGCTTAAGGCTCAGTGGCAACAGCCACCCATCAGTCTGTTGTTCTTCCCCCAAACATATGAGTTTTAAAATAGCCTGCTGTCGTTTCCCCCTGGCTGTGCTGAAGCTGGTGGTGAAGGTGTTACGCTGCCTGGATGAGGTGGTGGGAGAGGAGGAGGAAGCAGAGCAGGGCCGGACTGGCCCACTGGGATACCGGGAAATTTCCCGGTGGGCCGCGGCACCTGGGGCCGGTCTGACAGCTCCTGTGATCCCGGCGGCCGTGTGTGAGCTGTGCGGCCGCACATAGCCCCATGGGAGCCAGGGGGAGCCAGGCGGCCGGCTCACACATGGCCACCCGGGATCATTTAAAAAAATTTTTTTAAAAAGTGCGGCGGGGGCGGAGCTTACTGTGCGGTGGGGGCGGGGCTTAGCGTGCGGCGGAGGCGGAGCTTAATGTGCGGCGGGGCCCGGCTGACTGCAGCATGGGAAGCAGGAAGGAGTCCCTGCTTCCCCAACAACCAGCCTCCAGGAGCTCCAAGCAGGAGGTAAGAAGGAGGTGTGTGTGTGACTGTGTGTGTGTGACTGTCTGTGTGTGACTGTGTGTGTGTGACTGTGACTGTCTGTGTGTGTGACTGCCTGTGTGTGTGTGACTGTGTGTGACTGTGACTGTCTGTGTGTGTGACTGCCTGTGTGTGTGTGACTGTGTGTGTGTGTGACTGCCTGTGTGTGTGTGACTGTCTGTGTGTGTGACTGCCTGTGTGTGTGTGACTGTCTGTGTGTGTCTGTCTGCCTGTGTATGTTACTGTCTGTGTGTGACTGTGTGTGTGTGTCTGTCTGTCTGTGTGTGTGTGTAACAGTCTGCCTGTGTGTGTGTAACTGTCTGCCTGTGTGTGTGGCTGTCTGCCTGTGTGTTTGACTGTCTGCCTGTGTGTGTGTGTGTGTGTGTGTGGCTGTCTGCCTGTCTGTATGTGTGGATGTTTGCCTCGGTGTCAGTGACTGTCTGCCTCTGTGTGTGTGCGCACCTGCTAGTGAGGGAGCCTCTGTGTGTGTGCCTGCTAGTGAGTTTGTGTGTGTGCCTGCTAGTGAGTGAGCTTGTATGTGTGTCAGTGAGCTTGTCTGTAGGGATCATATGTGTGTGTGTTAGTGAGCTCTTGTCTGTAAGGAGCATGGGTGTGATCGTGGGCTTGTCTGTAGTGAGCGTGTGTGTCAGTGGGCTTGTCGGTATTGAGCGTGTGTGTCAGTGAGCGTCTGTGTCAGTGAGCGTGTGTGTCAGTGAGCTTGTCTGTAGTGACCATATGTGTCAGTGAGCTTGTCTGTAGTGAGCGTGTGTGTCAGTGAGCTTGTCTGTAGTGAGCATGTGTGTGTCAGTGAGCTTGTCTGTAGTGAATCTGTGTTAGTGAGCTCTTAGGGAGCATGTGTGTGTCAATGGGCTTGTCTGTAGGGAGAGTGTGTGTGCATCAGTGAGCTTGTCTGTAGTGAGCGTGTGTGTGTGACAGTGAGCTTGTCTGTAGTAAGCTTGTGTGTGTATCAGAGTTTGTCTGTACTAAATGTGTGTGTGTGCCAGTAACCTTGTCTGTGTGTGTCATTGAGATTGTCTGTCAATGAGCCTATTTGTGTGCATCAGTAAGATTGTCTGTGTCTGTGTGTGAGTATGCTTTACTGTATAATTTAATTACCCTGAAAGGACTAATATTTTGAATTAGAAGAAAATGTATCAATAATATATATATATATATATATACACACATACATACATACATACATACATACATACATACACATTAAAGGACCACTCTAGGCACCCAGACCACTTCAGCTTAATGAAGTGGTCTGGGTGCCTGGTCCAGCTAGGGTTAACCCATTTTTTCATAAACATAGCAGTTTCAGAGAAACTGCTATGTTTATGAATGGGTTAAGCCTTCCCCTATTTCCTCTAGTGGCTGTCTCATTGACAGCCACTAGAGGCGCTTGCGTGCTTCTCACTGTGATTTTCACAGTGAGAGCACGCCAGCATCCATAGGAAAGCATTGACAATGCTTTCCTATGTGACCGGCTGAATGCGTGCGCAGCTCTTGCCGCGTGTGCGCATTCAGCCGACGGGGAGGAGAGAAGGAGGATCGGAGGAGGAGAGCTCCCCGCCCAGCGCTGGAAAAAGGTAAGTTTTTCCCCCTTTCCCCCTTCCAGAGCTGGGCGGGAGGGGGACCCTGAGGGTGGGGGCACCCTCAGGGCACTATAGTGGTCCTTTAATATACAACACCCTACATAGCACAATGACTTATGGGGCTGGCATAGATTTTTTTCCAGGGCTGCTTCGTATCCCCAGTCCGGCCCTGAAGCAGAGTAGGAGGAAAAGGCAACAGGAGGCAAAGAGAAATGCCCTGCAATCCTCAGTGGCGGAAGGACATGCGCCAAACTGCTATCCGCCTCAGGTCCAGCCGCCACTACATTTGCCCAGTGAGCAGTTAGGAAGATATAGTGTCCCTGCCCGTGCTTACTGGTCCACGAATCTGTGGTTATGTGGACCTTGCCACAGATGGAGTTGTGCAGTGCACACCTGATTTTGTCTACCAATTGGTTGTTCAGGGAAGGGATGGCTCGCCTGGAAAAGGAGTGGTGGCTGGGAACCACCATCAGGTTTTTAAAACTGCCCGTCTCCACTAGACGGAATGACAGCATTTCAAAGGCCACAAATTTTGAAATTCTGGCATTCAGGGCCAGGAATCGTGGGTGGCTAGGGGGGTACTTCCACTTTCTCTTCAGTGTTTGGGAGATGGACAGCTGAACGCTTCCATGGGACAGTGTGGAGATGCTTAGGGATGGTGGTGGACATGGTGGCGTTGCTGCCACATCCTCTGTTTGCAGGGTGGCAGGTGCCACTGTGACTCCAGAGGTGGAGGAAGAGGCTGAGACCTTTCTTGGTTTTTGAGGTGCTTGTGCTTTGCATGTAGATGCCTGGTCATCCAGGTTGTGCTCAGGTTTAGCACGTGTATGCCTAGCTTCAGGCTCTGATTGCACAGCGTGCAAACCACTCGTGTCTTGTCGTCAGCACATTGTCTGAAGAACTACAACGCCAGGAAACTTCTTGGAGCTTTGGTGTGCTCGACCCCTGGGTGCGTTGGGCAGTAGCAGGCGTAGCGTCTAGGGGACAGCCGCTCCGCTTTTGCACCCTGCTCCCTCTTATGCTGTGCTGGTGCCTCTGTGCGACCACCGACTCTTCCTCCAAACAGCAGGGGACCAGGTGGAGACAATGTGCAGGAACTGGAGGCACTGTCAGCCATCCAATCTTCTATCGCCTGTACTTGTTCTAGCCTTACCATTCATAGAGCGGAATTCGGGCCTACCATATAACGCTAAAGGTTCTGTCGCGTACTCGCACCTGAGGAGTGTCACAGCAATATTTGACGGGGTTCTATTTGACTCTCAGATATGAAGTGCAGGCCCCAAATGTACTATTTAGCACCTAAGGAATCTCCATAGACTTCTTTTGCGGTCATGTGGCCGGAGCTGCTGCAGGGGGGCTGCTGTGGTTTCAGGCAGTCCCCCCCAACCGGGATTGCCGCGTTTTTTTGTTGGGCGTACCTAGTATGTCCGCGGTCGTTAAGGGGATATATGTATTTATAACATCATTCTAAATGTATTTTGATTTAAATATATATGTATATTAATATCAAAACACAGTTAGAAGAAATTTAAACCAGTATATAGCTATTTTTAGAGTAATTTTCTTTAATTTTTTACTTTATTTTTTTCAGTTTATCTATTGATTATTTATTTATATATATATATATATATATATTCCACGATCCTGCACTCACATTTGTAGTATAAGTGCCACGGCGCTCTTTCAGCCAAATCTACATAAATGGAAAAATCAAAATAGGCTCAGCACTAATAATGCCACAGATAAAAAGTATGTATGATAATGTAAAGGCAGCACACCTATAAGGGGAGTACCCTCCTATCCCCTACACTTAATTAGAACAGAAAAAACAAAGAGAAAGGGCGCGCCTTTAATACAGTATGTATAAAAAGAATACACACAATAATATATAGCTAAAAATTAGATAAAAGTTAAAAGTCCAGGGTAATAATCCACAACAAACGGAGAGAATTCTTGTAGACCAGTGATGGTTCGTCCCAAATGAAGATTTGTATTTTCAATGAGCCATATGTGGAGAGAAGTGGAGAGGAGATCCAATAGTGCAGTATGTCAATATATATATAAATATATATATAAAATAATTTAATGTACTCACAATTTCCAGAGCTAAAATCCAGCTCTGGTATGAAGTGTGTGAAGTGGAATGATCCCCACTCAAGGATATATGGAGTAGTAGCTTAAAATAAGGTGGTCCACCGGGAATTCCAACCGAAAATAAAACAAAAATATATAGTGCTCACTGAATGACTGGAATATAGATAAAAAAGAAGTATGAAATGTACTCACAATATATTGAGCAGACTTCACTGCTCAAATAGTGGCGTATGGGTGGTATAATTCCCACCTAGGGATTCTTTGGCGTTCCTTAAGATGGTGTAGATCCAAATAGTCAGGTTTAGAGAAAATAAAATAAAATAAAATAGGAATGTGGCTACTACAAATATTTTTGGGGCCATAATTCCTTTATTATAACCATATAAAATAAGTAAAACAAAATTCTAGACGCGTTTCGCCACAATAGGCTTCTTCAAGTAGAATATAATAAAAATACATAAACCTGACTTGCAATTCCTTATATAGGGTACATTGATTGTATTGGAATTTGAATATTCCCACCAAAATGACGTCATAGCAAACTTGATTTTAAGACACATATTTATTTATTTATTATTGCCATTTATATAGCGCCAACAGATTCCGTATTAAAATAATGTGACAGTAATATATGCATCGTGTACATACATAAAATAATTACATATAAAATATGAAAAACGAGGGGTAAATGTATGAGAAAGTGAATAAAAATAAGAGTCACGGATAAAATTACTTCTGCGTCATGTGACTATAGTGGAACGCTATTCCATTGTAATGGAACGCATGCGTATAGAGGATGTGCAGGCCGGGCGGGATCATAAGAACGTTGCGTCATCAGAGGGGAGGAGCCCTCTGGTGATCACGAACGAAGGCAATGTGAGCATGCCGTCTGCTCAAACAGACGAGCAGACAGCATGCCCACAAATATAAACAGGCCGCCACACGTTCCAAACCAGAAGGGGGCAGTTATAACAAATAACAGCCAGGGGCAGAGCAAGAAAATAGACCCCTAAGTGTAAATAAATATTTAATAAAAAGATCAATATAATAGATATCAAGAGGACATAATAAAAATCGGGGTATGAACTAAAAATAGGTGATAATAAAAATAGGTAATAATAAAAATATGTACATTAAATAAGAGATAGTGAATTTAAGGTAAAACCACTATAAAAATTGGAATAATAATTTATAATTATTTTAAAAACGGAAATAAGAATAATAATTTACATTAATAATAACTGTATAAAATTTAATGGAAATTATAGGAAATTAAAAAGGTCAAAGTCTATGTTGAGACCTTGTGGGGTAAGAGCTTTTAAATTGAATGCCCATTCGATCTCTTTGCTGCCT